CTCTCTCTCTCTCTCTCTCTCTCTCTCTCTCTCTCTCTCTCACACACACACCCTTGGTCAGAGCATCAGAGTCCACTTAGATGGAGTCAGGCCAGAGCCGGCCTCCTCCACCCTTCTGTTCCCCCTGTGGCTGACCCAACCACTCTCTCCATCTGCAGCCCAGGCAGGTCCCCTCCATTCAGTAGCAGCCCAGAGGCGCTGGGAGCTGCCAGGCAGGGTCACGGGGAAGCAACACCCCCCCCCTTCCCGCGAGAGAAGGAGCAGCGGTGGCGCCTTCTTTGCACTAATGAGCCATCTGCTCGGCAGCCTGCGAAATATCCCTGACCCCAGAGGCGGCCCACCACCGTTCCCCACGTCGCTCAAGGGTGGAGGGTGTTTTTCCCTCCCCTCCGGCTCTGCGGCCCCAAGGCCTGCGCGGACGCCGGGACCCTTCGGCAGCTGTCCTGAAGCAGCTGGAGGTCGCTGTCCCATTCCCAGGTGGACGGGCATCCCCGATGAAGACCCCCAGAGACTCCCAGGAGGCTCGCCAGAATGCTGGCTGCTGCGTTTTTCCTCCCTGGGGAATCGCACCGTCTCCGTGGCGGTCGGTCTGGTTGCTTTCCAGAATCGCCACCGATGTCCCTCTGGTTTCATCGCCGTGAGAGGTGGGCCTGCTGGGTTTTGAGACACCGGATCCAGCCTGAAGGAAGCTGCCCTTCCTTTGCTCCCACCCTTCCCAGTACGGACCAGAGCATGGCGGTGCCTCTGCAGTTCAGCATTATTCAGAAGGCAGCAAAGCAGGATGTTTGGCGGTTTTAGTGTTTCTGACATCTGCTTTTTTCTTTTTTTCTCCCTTCAATCCGGCTGGCTCACATCCTCCTCGGCTGCCGGTCTTCATCCCGTGATTTTCTGAAAAGGGATGAGAGGTTATCTTTGTTTAGCTCTGGTGGCGGAGTGTGTATTCGCCCCTAATCCTTGTTTGCAAGAGGCATGGATGCAAGGGGGTGTGTGTGTGTGTGTAGCCATGTGCAGGAGTGCCCTTTGCAGCACGCGGGGGTCATCTGGCCTGGTGCCCTCCAAGGGGGTCCCCTGCCAAGCCCAGAATCCCACCCACCCCCCCAACGGGGAAATTCTGGAAACCGAAATTGCAGCTACTTGGAAGGATGGCAGGCTTTGCCAAAAAACTCCACGGAGCCGGGATGCTGGCAAGGGAAGTTGTGGCCCAGATACTCCCCGTCTTGAGCAGAGAGTCTGTTTCAATTTATTCCCTTTGTTTTAAAGAAGGCCAAAGAAAGAAGAGATATTCACTGTGCAAATGTTGATCGGAGCGATATTTAAATAAACCCTCCATTGTTTCACAGTAGGTTATCCCATTTTCCCTTAACGGTTTACTGCAGGTCTCAAAACCAGCTAATTGCAATTCTTTTTTGGGGCCGCCTGAAATGAAAACGTTGCAAATATTGGACAGTTATTCCACAATATTTGATTTAGCAATTGGTGATTTCGGTGGTTCTTTTCGAATGAGTCAGTTTACATCCTCGGTAGCAGTTTTGAGTAAAATGCTGTTTGGGGTTTCGAGGTGTTTTTTCCTCGGCTGTGATGTCTGGGCTGTTGAGATTTCTTCCAACGAAAACAATGAACATACATTAAACAAAGCACCTGTTACAATCTACCTGTCTCATTTCTAGGGCAGCCATGCAAATATTGTTGGGTTTTAAATTTGAATAATAATCGGAACGGATTTGGAAAACCAACATTACAGGCCGGAGGGCATTTTCCCCTTCAGGCAGCTTGCATTCCCAGTGAAGGGCCCAGATAGTCCTTGATTTACAACGGCCCACCCAGTGGGCTGCTTGAAGTTACAAAACGGCACTGAAAAAAAGCGACTTACGGCCAGTTTCCACACTTACGGCCGTTGGAGCATCCCCTCATGGTCAGGTGATTTGCATTCGGATGCTTGACTGCCGACTCACATTTACGACGGTCGCAGAGTCCCGGGTTCCCCTTTTGCAACCAGCAGAGTGAAAGGGGAAGCTGGATTCACTTAAAGGCTGCGTCACTGTGGAGAGGCAAAGAAATAAGTATTGAGCGGAAGCATTTCTGCTGGGAATTCTACCTGAAATTTATAATAAAGAGCTTGTGTATTTAATCATTCATGTATTANCTTCCTTCATCCCTCCCTCCCTCCTCCTCAAGTAACAGCACTTAGACTTATATACCGCTTCGCAGTGCTTGACAGCCCTCTCTAAGCGGTTTACAGAGTCAGTCTCTTTCCCCCAACAATCTGGCTCCTCATTTTACCCACCTCGGAAGGACGGAAGGCTGAGTCAACCTGGAGCCGGTCAGAATCAAACTGCTGACTGTGAGCAGAATTAGCCTGCAATACTGTATTCTAGGCACTGCGCCATTATAGCTTCCTTCTCCTCATTTCCATTCCTCCCTTCTCATCTATCTTCCTTCCTTCCTTCATCCCTCCCTCCCTCCTCCTCAAGTAACAGCACTTAGACTTATATACCGCTTCGCAGTGCTTTCCAGCCCTCTCTAAGCGGTTTACAGAGGCAGTCTCTTTCCCCCAACAATCTGGCTCCTCATTTTACCCACCTCGGAAGGACGGGAGGCTGAGTCCACCATGAGCCAGTCAGAATCGAACTGCTGACGGTGGGCAGAGACGGCCTGCAATACTGCATTCTAATCTTTGCACCCTCATGACTCCAGATGTAAACAATAACCATAACGAAATCAATCATAGAGCTTGAATCATTCACCACTGTTTTGACGTGCAAGGCATTTGGACAAAAGCAATCTGTTCCAGGACTTGGCTAGTCCTGTCTCAAGACATGCTGCTATGATGAACCAACCACGTTCAACCAAGGAATAACAGGACCCATAAGCCTGCTCCTGCCTCCTTCCTTTGAATCCCGCCTCCTGCCACGCAAGGACATTCACGCCTCCACAAGCGACTTGCCTCAACCTTCCTGTCCAGCTCCTGAGCCACGGCTGCTGATGCCACGGCCACGGCCACCGAGGCTGGGCCAGCCACCTTGGCTTCCTTGTTGTTGGGGTTCTCCTTCTTCTCCGTGGGCAGCTGGGTGAAATCTGGGGCTGCCACCGGTTGGACGCAGCTGGAGGGGAAGAGCCCCGACTTCCCATAGATGGCACCAAACTTCCAGCCTATCCAAGGAATAAGAGATGCTCAGGACAATTGTCAAGAGATCCTCCCTCTTGATGGCCTTCCAACCACCTTCTCCCAAGGAAGAGGAGGAGTGGGTTCCACAGAGATCTCTCCAATCGGTTTCCAGCCCCCTTTCCTCCAGGACAGGGATGTCCCAACCTTGGCAACTTTCAAGACCTGTGGACTTCAACTCCAGAATTCCTGGCTCAGGAATTCTGGGAGTTGAAGTTCTCAGGTCACAAAGAGGCCATATTTTCCCATTCCTGCTCCAGGTCATTGTTGATTAGGTCTATTTGGACCTAGGAAGTTCTAAACATCTCCAACCAAGGACTGAGTTTGCTCAAGGGGGGAGGGGAAACAACAAACACCAGCATGCAACTTAAAGGTGGAAGATGCTGAAGAAGAGGAATCTGGAAGAGAGCAGAGCGTTGCACTCCACACCATGCCAAAGCCACCCACCAAAATCCAGGGTGCCCTTTTTGACCTCTTCCAGGAGAATCACTTTCTTCCTCACCACGCAGCCGTAATAGCGGTCTGTAGGTGGGAGAAGCACAGGGGTATCAGAAGGACCCCAAGAACGCTTCCATGCAAAGTGGCCAACCACCACAATCCAATTTCAACTCCAACCTCAATCCCTCCCCTTTTGCATCAGCAGTGATGATGCTCCGTTTTGCATTCCTTCTTCTTGCAAAAGACATTTTTTGTTTCCGTTTTCTCTTATCGTGAACACAGACAGCTGGCATTATAAAAAAGTTTAATCTGCTGTAAAACGTGTCTCCCTTCCTGGAGATCTCATTAAATCTCCCTCTGTTATCTCTATTTCCATTAAAATCTTTTGCATCTTCTCTNCTTTCTCTCTTGGGCCTTGAACGCTACTCCTTGTCCCAGGAGGGACCGATGGAGCAGGGCCCTCGGATTCGCTTATGGTTGACATTGGAGAGAGGGGGCAGAGAAAGAGAGAGAATGAGAGAGAGGGCGGGAAGGAGAATGAGAGAGGGGGGAGAGGGAGGGAGAAAGAAAGAGAGGGGGGAGAGAATGAGAGAGAGAGAATGAGAGGGAGGGAGGGAGAGAGAGAATGAGAGACAGGGGGAGAGGGAGGGAGAGAAAGAGAATGAGAGAGAGGGAGAGAGAGAAAGAGGGAGGGAGGGAGAATGAGAGAGAGGGAGAGAGAAAGAGAGGGAGGGATGGAGAATGAGAGAGAAAGGGGAGATGGAAGGAGAGAAAGAATGAGAGAGAGGGAGAGAGAGAGAAAGAGAGGGAGGGAGAATGAGAGCGGGGAGAGGGGGAGAGAGAGACAGGGAGAGAAAGAGGGGGGAGAAAGAGAGAGAATGAGAGAGGGAGAGAGAGAGAATGAGAGAGAGGGGAGAGGGAGGGAGAGAGAAAGAAGGAGGGAGGGAGAAAGAGGGGAGAGGGAGAGGGGGGAGGGACAGAAGGAAAAGGGAGGGAGGGGGAGAAAGAGAGGGAGGGAGACAGAAAGAGAATGAGAGAGGGAGAGAGGGGGGGCTGTTTGGGGTCTCTGGAGTAGACCGCATCTCTACCCTTGGGAGTCTTGGAGGGAGGGGTCTCCTTGCAAGGCTGAGTCTCTCCCCCCCCCCCGCCCTTTGTGGAGGGGCAGCTCCTCCTTATCTCAAAGAGGACCCGTCATGGTGATCCCAGCCGGCCTCCTGGGTGATTAATGGCCATTTGTCATGGGCCGAATGGGGGGCAGCAGGGCCTCTCCATTGAAGCCTGGGGCCTGGGCAGGAGCCATCTGGGCGCGCTCGGTAGACGTGGGGGCCCTTGTAAAGAGATAAGCGGCAGCTGGGGTCTCTGGCCTTGGGGGCAGGGGGCTGACGGCCTCGGAGGAGACCCCAGGGAGGGGTCCTGTTTTGCATTTCAAAGCCCTTCTCCGGGATCTGGCTTCCTTCCTCCTCTTCTCCGCCCTGGGAAATAAAACGCGGAATATAGGAGCCGCCAATTCCAATTCTTGGAATCCCCTTCTCTGTTCTTTAATCCAGAAATGGATCCCGGAAGGATTTCCCTGCCCCCCAAGGGACAAGGCTGGTCCTAAGGAAGACCTTCCACACACCACACCTGCGCAGGAATAGGCCATTCTGAGGGACTCCATGGAGCTGCCTTTGGGGGCAAATGGGAAGCCCTGGGTTGAAGGGCCTGTAGAAGAGAAATTCGCCCTCTTCCTCTTTTGCAGCTCACTGACACTCCATCCATCCATCCATCCCTTCATCCACCCACCTACCTACCTACCTACCTACCTACCTATCTATTGTATATCTATNGCCAGCGTGGAGTGGTTCCCTGCAACCCACATCCCTTTGCAATGAGTCACAGAGCTGCCCCGGCCTCCCCCCCTCCCTCCCCGCTGATTCCCAGCCCAGGGAAGAGGGAAGCTTCCCTCTTGGCTCCCAAGGCCGAGCCAAGAAAACTCGGGGAGGCTCGGAGGGCGAGGGGAGTTGCTCAGGCCTCCGGGGCTGAACCTCCCCAGCCAGCTGCAACCCTTGGCCGCCCCCAGCCTGCCCGAGGAGCTCTTTCCCCCCCCTCTCTCCCCAGAAGCTTTGCCCCCTGCTCCCCCCGCAGCAGAAAGAGCGGGGGGGGCTCAGCAGCAGGGCCCCTGGCCCCCTTCGGGCTTGCTGGCAGCCTCCTTCCCCTTCTAGCCCCGTTTCCCTCCGGCGCTGCTCCGTTGGAGAGGAAGCGTTGCGTGTATATTGTGAGCCTCCAACCTTCCCCCCCCCCCCACGGGGGCTGCAGCATTTCCACGGCCCTGGCAGTGGTTTTTTACCATATATGGCCATTCGAGCTCTTTCAGCTGCAGCTGTCCTGAATAATATCCACCCTCCGCTTTGATTGGCCACTCGGAGCCCACAGGATGGAGGGCTGGCTGGGAGCTGCTGCTGCGGCAGCCGCTTTGAGTCAGGAGGAGGAAGAGGAGGGTTAACGCGCTCTCTCCCCCTGGGCTCTTTCGGGCGTTCCCCCCGCCCTGCACCCTCTGGGCTGGGCTCAGCCCTGGGAGGGAGCCTGGCTGTGGGGGGGAGCAGCCCAAGCGGAGCAAATTGCCCAGCAGGTGGGGGAACCGGTGTTCCGAGAGCGCCTCTCCCAGGAAGGAGGCTGGAAGGGCAGCGAGTAGGCACCGGCCTGCAAAAGGAAATCCATTCCTCCGCAGAAGTCTTTGTTTCACGACGACAAAGGAACTTTGGACAGGGAAACTGAAGGGAGACAGACGCCCAGCCGAATGCCCAAACGCTCCCTGGCATCAGAGCCTCCCTTCCCCACCGGGGATTCAGGGAGGACTCCTCCCAAACTGGCTGGACTTCAGCTCCCAGAATCCTCTGCCAGGTGCTGGGGCCTCTGGGAACTCAAGTGGAGCCTTCTGACCAGGTGGAACGAAAGCCAGTGGCAAATAGCCAAGTTCTCGCCTCGCCCAAGCCATGATTGGTGGCTTAGTCCCAGGGTGTTTCTCAGCCCTGCTAAAGGCGAAGAGAGCTTCCTCCCTCCCTTTGCTTTCCGGAAGTCCCGTCCATGGAAATCGTATAATTGTTGGAAAGCCCCAGGAAGATTTTTTTCCCCCCTCCCAAGCCATAACTTTGTCTTTGGGGTGGAGTTCCTCCTTTCGGGCTCCCCTTTCCTTGATCGGCCAAGAGTTACTCTGCAAATACAGATTCCCCTCCCTTTCGCTCTGGAGTCTGCGGTGCTCAAGGCTCTTGAAAAGGCTCCAGATTGGGAGGGGCCAAAGCCGAAGAGTGGGGGGGGCAGGCTGGCTCCCAGGCTCCAGAGGAGACCCTTTCCCCCCTCTCCCAAACAGTTTCCCTTCAAGAAATAAACCAGTCCATGCACAAAGACACGGAAGGGTGGATGTTGGGTTGCGTTTTCCTTTCTTTTTGGGTAAGGGGGTGTGTGCTTCTCTTGGGGGGGGGGCCGCCGTGCCGTTTGTAGGGACAAAAGCCGCTTCTTGTCCTGCTCGCGTGAAGTTTCATTGAGTTTTCTCTCCTATTGTGGCCGGTCGTCCCCTCCCGGAAGATCCAGCTCACAGTTTCCACAGGAAGCGTGTGCAAGTTGTTTGCCTGCGGCTGCCGAGGGTGGGGCCCCCTTGCCGTTCGGTGGTGCTGTGCGTTGCTCAGCTGGCTTCTGCTTTTGCACCCCCACCCTCTGACCAAAGGCTGGGGGATTCTGGGAGTTGAAGTCCACCCATCTTGAAGCTGCCAAGGCTGAGAGAGGGTGCCCATCGGTCTCGCTTCTCCATCTGATTGAGCCTTGATTAGTCTTGCTTCCCTCTCTCGTGTCCCTCTCTTCTCTTAGGGGGTGCCAGGCTCCCCCCTCTGTTCCCCAAGGCTTTTCTCTTTCTCTCTTGGGCCTTC